GAGGCAGAAGTCTGCAGTCTGGATACAGAAACTGTGTAAGCCTATAGGATCTGGAACTGTTAACAGGTTGAGCATTTTTAAATATTTTGTTTGTCCAGTTGTTTGAGACTGTGTCTTGAAAACTGTTTGCATATGTTGTATGCAGATGTCATGGATGGAATACTTCAAAGATCCCGGGTGGTTAGCATCCTTTGGATATTTTCTCCAGGTCTTGCCGGTGTGTTGGGAAATGAGAAGGCAGAGAGACTGACCGGTTCTGCACCACTTGGTGGTGAAATTAATGTATAACAAGTTGGATGTTGTGCGGGCCTTTTTGGTGCGAGTGAACAGTGCCAAGGCACAGATAGATCATTATTGTCTGGGGAGAATGGCACTACGAGGAGTTACAAGGGGATCTGGCTGACGCTCAATACACACGGGAAAGGCGAGATGAATACACAACCAGACAGTTACTGGTACCATCAGAATTTTAACTATGCTTGCTGCTGAAGATGGGGATAGAGCGCTTATCAGGGTTTCCCAAGTGCTGTGATGTTGATTCTTAATTCAACATTCAACATGGATGGAGTCTAGTCCAGCACCCCTGGCCTCTCTCTCAACATTGTGTACATGTTAGCCTAGTTGTATTTTTGTAGGTCACTTAATTCTATAAGGGTGATGCAGTCAGAATTATGCTGGCCACATTTGCTTTCCAGAACATTCTTCTTCTCTTTTTTCTTTTGTTGTATAACCAACACCAGTTTGTAGCCCAGTGTCATGGTTTTCTGTATTTGTCTTGCATTTGTCTGGTGGCTTGGGTGATAGACTTGTTCCTCTTTTTGCAGGTTCAGCCGCACCATTTATCCATCTCTTTCTCGGTCTCCCCCTCTCCTTGCTCCCAGTTTATCTGCTGTAAGAAAAATCTCATATGCAGTTTGTCCTGGCTGCATTCTCACTGGACGATAGAACCATTTCATTCTTTGCCTGTCAGTATAATAGAGACACGGTCTTACTCCAACATTCTTTATAATGCTGGTTTTTGTAATCCTGTCTCTTCTTGTGTTGTTAGTGACCTTGTGGAGACAGAGCATTTCACAAGTAGTTATTTTCTGTTCTAATGCCCTATTCATTGTTCATATTTGGCACTGATAACATAAAGTAAGGATGAAGATGCTGTTAATCATTTGCTGTTTTGCTGGAAGGGAGACATTTGGGTGTCTAAGCAGTGGGGCTAACTGGTAGGTGGCAGCATTCGCCTTCTGTACTGTGGCTTCTATCTCTCTTTCAAGTTTACCATATTCTGTAAATATTCTTCCTAGATATTTGAATTCTCATATTTATTTGACTGTACAACCATTAACATGAACATTCGTGTTATTAGGCTTCCTATCTGTTCTCATTAACTCAGTTTTTCACAGTGTTTATTTTCATATTATACCTTGTGCAGGTTTGAAATAATTAGTCAGTATGATGTTTTAAATTCTTTTCTTGGTAGTAGACATAGTAGACACTGATCGTTCTCAAAAAGCAATTAATTGATTTCTTTAGTGCCCATATTTGCCTCCTGTGTAATTCTGTCCATGTAAGTTTAGGTTTAATAGGTTTAGGTTTAAACAACAGATCAACATCATGGCACAAGGGTAGTCACCCATAGGTGCTCCGTTCTACTTCTAGCTCAAGCCTGAGTCCGAAAATCTCAGCACATTGCATGAATTCTGTAGCAAGGATCCTGAAATAATTTGTGTAGATTTTAAACTCAAAATTTTTGCCTGTGCAGCACCCTTATGCTAATCTTTTTGATTTCCAACTAACAAGGGATTTTTTACATGCGCAAAAATATACATGGGCATCCGATCTTACTACCCAGAGACCAGGGGGAACTACTAGAAGTCCATGGGAAAAACCCCCCAGCCTTCATTGGCACCCGAACCCGGGACCTCCAGCAATCGAGGCGGATTCTATGTCTTGAGACCACGTAAGTAATCAAGAGCAAGGGTGTGAGGACACATTCCTGTCTGACACCTGGCACATTTCCTGTTATATATTTTTAATTATTATGTCTGGGATCCTCAGTCAACCAGTCAGTTTTAAAGAATTCCTGATGATAGTGGTTTCAATACTTGACTGCCTGATCACCAGGCAAGCATGTTAGCCATGGTGGGATTGTGGCCCCTGAAAGTAGAAGTATCCTTCTGTTTATTTTGTCCCCCCCCCCCCCCCCCCCCCCCCCAACAATTTTTTTTAATTGAAAAGTTTATGATTTACAGTTTCATGTTAACATTTCTCTTAGGAGAACACGTAACCAGTACACTCAGCTGATGTTGAAGATGTTGAAGAACGGATCATTGCAGTCACCGTTTGATCAGAAACCAGACGAAGGCCCTCTGAAGCCACTTCCCACTTACATGGTTGGTTGTGACTGAAAACCTGTTTCTAAGCTGTGTGTTGCAACATGAAAATGCTGCATTTCAGTGTGTTTACTTTCAAGAAACGTTTTAAACAATTCTATAATAGTCTATTCCAAAAGTCCTGCCGAACTTTAAAAATCTTTAACTCAGTAACCGTTTGGTGTAAATGTTGAAATTTGGCATGCACCCAGTAAATAATCATATTCTTGTAAGATTGAAAAAAAAAATGTGAAGAAACATCTAGCTTTTTTGCCTTACAGGCAGTAGATGAAAAAACCAAACAGACACTGATTCGAAGCAAGCAATCAGCATGCTTACAGTAAGTTAAGTAAATTGAGTAATGGGAACTTTTCAAAACATGAAATTGCACACATATCATAGGCATTTTACTCTCAGATGGTCAACTGCAGTATAAGTTTCCTGTGAGTTGCAGATTTTTCACTGAGTGGGGAATAGGCTGTCAAAATAATCACCATGCATCAGTTGCACATGTGAACTGTTTTTCAAACAATCTTCACACATGTGTCAGTTACTGTATATTTGATTTTTTATGGTTACAGAAATTATTAATCAAACAAAGATCAAAGAAATTTGTCACTTTAAGAAAACAGCAGCATGTGATCAATTGTAAATTACAGAATAATAAGGACATAGGAAATCTAAAGCCACATCCAACAGTTTGTGTTGATTCAGACAGGAGTTTTCGAGATATTTGTTAAAGTATGACAGCATGCATTTTGAAAAACACTTTCGAATTTTCTACTTTTTCTGCTTTTAACCCCTAATGGATCTCAGGTGCTCAACCAGTTCTTGATAAGCCCCTTTAGATTTGTTCTTGAAGGTTTGCATTTTTCAGCTTCAGTTTTCAAAGAAATGAGGCAACTATTAACCCTCCTATATAACATTGCACAAATGGGGGTCTCTGTAGTGGGGAAGTGGTCAAGCCACTTTCCTCATCCTTTGAAGGTCTTGTGTTCTTTTTACGGACTGCATCATTTGGTTCAGAAGTGCAGTTTTCTGGAGATCTTTAAGGATAATTTCAGGGGCTGTATGGTTTATGCTTCAAAATGTGCAATGCTCTTGGCAGACAGCCAGTTGTTTTGCAGAGAGAGACTGTTCTGCAGTGAATTTAGTTCTGTTGATGATGATGACAACTTTGCAAAATAAGTTACACCGTTACTATTCTCTGCTTTGCTTGGAAGTTTGAAAAATAATTCATACTTGTTGCATAAACCTACTTTGAATATATGACTGTGAATCATAGACAGTTGAAGATACAGAATTGTGATTTTATAGAAATTCAAAATGTGGTAAACACTCTTAACCCTTTTGCTCCGAGAAACCAAAAAAAAACTTACACTGTCGGTTTCGTCACATTATTCATAATTGTCAGTTTTCTTACTTGCCCACCGTGACTGGTTTAGGATATGTATAGTTGATGCAGTTGGCTGAGTTAGTGCATATGCAAACATACAGGAGGTCAGGATATCAATACATTAATTAATAATCACATTTAGAGGGGTTTAACTTTATGCTAAATGGCATTTTAAAAATCAAGATGACATCAGATTTTTTGATAACCCTCATGGTTAAAGGCCACAGGGTCACGCCCTGATTAATTTGATACGTATGTTTTGTAAACCTCGGGGAATGTGTTTAATTGAATGCCTCGCCAAGTTCATGCATATTGATTACTCCTTTCATACATCTTTTTATATTTCGAAAAGTAATTTTAAAATGTCTATAAATAAATTTTAAACAAATTTATTAGTGACCTGTAAAAATATTTTGTTGTTTGTACAGATTTTCTCAGGACTAACTATGATTGGTTCTGCTTGCAGCTTCCATCTGTTTAGGAGTAGCTAGAGCATGACTCTGCTGGATTGACTGATGAGACTTATGGTCTGATAATTCTGACATTGTTGTAAATTCCCCTTTTTTTTAAGAATGGTAATAATGAACATACATACATACATACATTTTGATGTCAGCAGAGGGTGACTTGAGTACATGAACATTGTCACTGAGTACACTACAAGTCTGGCACCAAATAACAAAATAACTATGAAAAGCATTAAACCCGACAATCCAGAAAAAGCAAAATCTAGTCACTTATGGTTATGACACAGCCACATAAATGTTGATATTTCACCATTTCTGCAGGGTTTGTTCTCAGAAAGCATAGTTAAATGCTATTGGTTTATAGGGCCTGCCTACTGTTTCGGAGGCCTGGATGTGAATATATTAACTACATAAAGCATTTTTTGGGGTTTACATTGTAAATGCAGTAGCTATTTCATAGAAAAGTTGGCTAACAATTTCTCCATAAGCCTCAGTGATAGAGTTCACTGGGTCATAGCTTAAGTCACCCAATACATATTTGTTTTATACCCTAAGCAATGAATTCCATTTACTCCATCACTTTGTTCTTGTTTATTGGTTACTTCCTTTATATGTCTTTGTATTTTTCAATATAAAAATAAAATAAAATATAGATTGGTATATTTTGAAAAAACAAATTGTTGTTACCCATGTAAACCAATTTTGTTTGTAGCATTCACAGAGCGAAAGGTTTAATAATTGTTGTGTATCATATATAAAATGTTTTTGCAGGTTGAAGGACTTCCTAATTGGGTAGAGGATCAACTGGGAGACACGGCTGGCTCTTCTCTTATTGCGGGATATTTAAGGAATCCTGCAGCAACATCCACCTGGGTCTCCAGCATAGGTGAACTGACAGACAGGTAAGTTACTGATACACACTCAAGTTCAACAGTCTGACAAATGAGAAGGAGAACAAGATATATGTGTGGTAGGAGCAGCAGTGCTACACTCACCATAATGAGATGTACTTTTTGAGAAGAATTTTGAGGATAGAGACAAAATAAACACTGAGCTCTCATAAAGAGACATGGTTTTTGAGAAGAATGTAGAGAATTATGTGGATAGAGATGAAATAAACACTGAGCTGTCCTAATGAAATATATATTTTGAGAGGAATGTAGAAAACTTTATGAATGGAGAAGAAATAAATGCTGGGCTGTCATAATGAAACATGTATTTTGATAAGAATGTAGAGAACTTTATGGATATAGAAGAAATAAACACTGAGCTCTTTCAGAGTTAAAGATTACTCATCAAAATGGTAAGGAATTGAAACATGACATTTAGTTGGCATTTCAACGTAAGAGGTTTTATAGAAAAACTAAGTTTAAATAGAAAAATACTAGACAATACTATCTCACAGGGAGTTGTTGTGGCGGAGTAGCTAGACTCTCACCACAGATCGGAAGGTCATGGGTTCGCTGCCTGGCGGAGCCGGACTTTTTAAAAAAATGACCTTGGCTCTCAGGTCGACCCAGCACATCACCCATCTTGTGCTGATTGGTCTATAAAGTATAGATCTTGCCCTATATGCCTAAAGGCGTGGAAAAGGGTCCTTTACTTTTTTTTTTTTTTTAAACTTTACTATTTCACAGCACCTGCAAACAAGTTGCAGTAACAATTTCAAGATCATGCATTTCAAGATTACGATAACATGGATGTCAGAAACTGACTCTTACTCAAACATTGAAGAAACAGAATATGAGCTTTTGAACTGAAATGTTGCAGAACATTTCTTGGTATACCATGGATCGAGAAGAAGAAAAACCCTGACACTCTACAGGATCTGAACAATGAGAATTGACTCATAAACAGTACCTACCCCATCTTTTGTTTGCTGCTTTGTCCTGAAAACCGATATATTCTGGTCATATTCTTCTTCTTCTTCGTTCACCGGCTATGAATTCAGGTAAAAGGTCAGGTTAATCGTCCGCTTGAACTTTTGGCTTTTACCTGGATCTGAGTTTTGCGTGTACAACCGTTTTTACTGGCTTACGCCGTTCCCTGCCTCACTTTGGTCATATTAAATCTCATCGTGACCTGGAACAGTTTTCAGAAATGGAAGCAGAGACAAACTTCTGTGAAGGTGAATACAAGACTGTGAAGATGCACTGGCTATGAAATCACATAAGGCTGGATAATTGGCTAGAGAAAGAGAAATGTTCAGGCTTCCCATGATGAGAGAAATGTTCAGGCTCGCCGTGATAAGAGAAATATTCAGGCACGCCATGATGAGAGAAATGTTCAGGCTCGCCGGGATAAGAGAAATGTTCAGGCTCACCATGATGAGAGAAATGTTCAAGCTTCCCATGATGAGAGAAATGTTCAGGCTCGCCGTGATAAGAGAAATGTTCAGGCTCACCATGATGAGAGAAATGTTCAGGCTTCCCATGTTGAGAGAAATGTTCAGGCTTCCCATGATGAGAGAAATGTTCAGGCTCACCATGATGAGAGAAATGTTCAGGCTTCCCATGATGAGAGAAATGTTCAGGCTTCCCATGATGAGAGAAATGTTCAGGCTCACCATGATAAGAGAAATGTTCAGGCTTCCCATGATGAGAGAAATGTTCAGGCACGCCATGATGAGAGAAATGTTCAGGCTCGTCGTGAGGAGAGAAATGTTCTGTAAAAGTACTTGCAGATTAGAGAGCGATGAAGAAAGAGAGGGAGGATGAGAAGAAACAGACCAAGAAAGACCAGAATACATAATTAGGCTGAATGAACAGGCCTGAAATTTGGAAACATTAAGTCCATTGCATCTGCCTGACAGAGCTAGAGGGAAGAGCTAGAGGGAAGAGCTAGAGGGGAGAGCTATAGGGAAGAGCTAGAGGGAAGAGCTAGAGGGTAGAGCTAGAGGGTAGAGCTAGAGGAAAGAGCAAGAGGGTAGAGCTAGAGGGAAGAGCTAGAGGGAAAAGCTAGAGGGTAGAGCTAGAGGGAAGAGCTAGAGGGAAGAGCTAGAGGGAAGAGCTTGAGAGAAGAGCTAGAGGAAAGAGCTAGAGGGAACTGATCAAACAGTCAAAAGTAACTGTTGACTCAACGACATGTGATGTTTTTGGATTATGATGATGATGATGAGTTGATGATGAGATGATAATGAGATGATGAGATGATGATGAGATGATGCTGAAGAAAGAGAAAGATGAATATAGAAAACCTTAAGTACTGGGCAACAAACAACAATACATGGAACACTAGTGTTTTTAAAATTTACATCAGATAGTCATAAATTCAAAATTGCAAATGTCTGCTCTTGACCAGGCACTCAGAGGAAAAGATTGTGAAGAATGTTTTAAGTAAGCTGTACATTTGCACTGTACTTCAAGGAACATTGGGGGGGGGGGGGGGGGGGGGGGGGTTGAAGAAGAGGAGGGCAGAGAAGAACATGGAATGACAAAATCAAGAATTGACAGGACTAAGTTATCATACACTTATTCATCAAGTGGAAGACAGAGAAGGAAGCAAAAGGAGAAACAGAAGGAGGAGGAGCAGGGAAAGGAGGAGGAGCAGGAGGAGGTGCAATGGGAGGGGCAGGAGGAGGGGCAGGAAGAGGAGCAGGGGGAGAAGCTGGAGGAGGAGCAGGAGAAGCGGCAGGAGGAAAAGCAGAAGAACAAAAAATAATCCACCAACACCATAAAAGATTTTAGCAACCAATGTAGTTTGTTTAGTTGAAGTTTTGTTCATTCTGTCCTGTTTATTTTTCTCTTGAGCTCATTGTTTAGTCTGCCTCAGTTGTTTTTTGTTTTTAACATTTTTGTATGTTTCCATAGACCAGATCACCACACAGCAGTCTGTTTTGTATGTTTCCATGAACCAGATCACACAACAATCTGTTTTGTATGTTTCCATGAACCAGATCACACAGCAGTCTGTTTTGTATGTTTTCATGAACCAGATCACATAACAGTCTGTTTTGTATGTTTCCATGAATCAGATCACACAACAGTCTGTTTTGTATGTTTCCATCAATCAGATCACACAGCAATCTGTTTTGTATGTTTCCATGAACCAGATCACACAACAGTCTGTTTTGTATGTTTCCATGAACCAGATCACACAACAGTCTGTTTTGTATGTTTCCATGAACCAGATCACACAGCAGTCTGTTTTGTATGTTTCCATGAACCAGATCACATAACAGTCTGTTTTGTATGTTTCCATGAACCAGATCACATAACAGTCTGTTTTGTATGTTTCCATGAACCAGATCACATAACAGTCTGTTTTGTATGTTTCCATGAACCAGATCACATAACAGTCTGTTTTGTATGTTTCCATGAACCAGATCACACAACAGTCTGTTTTGTATGTTTTCATGAACCATATCACAAAACAGTCTGTTTTATATGTTTCCATGAACCAGATCACACAGCAGTCTGTTTTGTATGTTTCCATGAACCAGATCACATAACAGTCTGTTTTGTATGTTTCCATGAACCAGATCACACAGCAGTCTGTTTTGTATGTTTCCATGAACCAGATCACATAACAGTCTGTTTTGTATGTTTCCATGAACCAGATCACATAACAGTCTGTTTTGTATGTTTCCATGAATCAGATCACACAACAGTCTGTTTTGTATGTTTCCATGAACTAGATCACACAGCAGTCTGTTTTGTATGTTTTCATGAACCAGATCACATAACAGTCTGTTTTGTATGTTTCCATGAATCAGATCACACAACAGTCTGTTTTGTATGTTTCCATGAACCAGATCACACAGCAGTCTGTTTTGTATGTTTCCATGAACCAGATCACACAGCAGTCTGTTTTGTATGTTTCCATGAACCAGATCACATAACAGTCTGTTTTGTATGTTTCCATGAACCAGATCACATAACAGTCTGTTTTGTATGTTTCCATGAATCAGATCACACAACAGTCTGTTTTGTATGTTTCCATGAACCAGATCACACAGCAGTCTGTTTTGTATTTTTCCATGAACCAGATCACATAACAGTCTGTTTTGTATGTTTCCATGAACCAGATCACACAGCAGTCTGTTTTGTATGTTTCCATGAACCAGATCACATAACAGTCTGTTTTGTATGTTTCCATGAACCAGATCACATAACAGTCTGTTTTGTATGTTTCCATGAACCAGATCACACAACAGTCTGTTTTGTATGTTTTCATGAACCAGATCACATAACAGTCTGTTTTGTATGTTTCCATGAACCAGATCACACAGCAGTCTGTTTTGTATGTTTCCATGAACCAGATCACATAACAGTCTGTTTTGTATGTTTCCATGAACCAGATCACCACACAGCAGTCTGTTTTGTATGTTTCCATGAACCAGATCACACAGCAGTCTGTTTTGTATGTTTCCATGAACCAGATCACATAACAGTCTGTTTTGTATGTTTCCATGAACCAGATCACATAACAGTCTGTTTTGTATGTTTCCATGAACCAGATCACATAACAGTCTGTTTTGTATGTTTCCATGAACCAGATCACATAACAGTCTGTTTTGTATGTTTCCATGAACCAGATCACATAACAGTCTGTTTTGTATGTTTCCATGAACCAGATCACACAACAGTCTGTTTTGTATGTTTTCATGAACCAGATCACATAACAGTCTGTTTTGTATGTTTCCATGAACCAGATCACACAGCAGTCTGTTTTGTATGTTTCCATGAACCAGATCACATAACAGTCTGTTTTGTATGTTTCCATGAACCAGATCACATAACAGTCTGTTTTGTATGTTTCCATGAACCAGATCACACAGCAGTCTGTTTTGTATGTTTCCATGAACCAGATCACATAACAGTCTGTTTTGTATGTTTCCATGAACCAGATCACATAACAGTCTGTTTTGTATGTTTCCATGAACCAGATCACATAACAGTCTGTTTTGTATGTTTCCATGAACCAGATCACATAACAGTCTGTTTTGTATGTTTCCATGAACCAGATCACATAACAGTCTGTTTTGTATGTTTCCATGAACCAGATCACACAACAGTCTGTTTTGTATGTTTCCATGAACCAGATCACATAACAGTCTGTTTTGTATGTTTCCATGAACCAGATCACATAACAGTCTGTTTTGTATGTTTCCATGAACCAGACTCTTTTTTGTGTGACAGTGGCACATCAAGAAACATCATCGTCACAACAGCTCAGAAAATGATTCCTAAAAAACGACACAAGAAACAGATTTACATTACAGAAAAAACTTTCAAGCTGATAGAAGAAAGAAGAAATTTAAAGCAAGTAGGGACAGAAAAAAATAGTCAAGCATATAGGAACTACACGAAAGAAATCAGAAGAGCTATCAGAGGAGAAAAAAAACAGTTTATTATAAATACATGTAATAGAATTGAACAACTCCAGATGTAAGGAAGAGACAAAGACATGTTTAAAGAAATTAAAACATTGAAATGCAAATTCAAGCCTTCTTTTCATATAATAAGTGATAAAAACGGTAACACATTAACGGAAACCAAAGACATATTATAAAGATAGAAAGAATACTGCTGAGAAATGAATGAGGATGTGACAAGTTATTCAAAATTGACTTGTGAAAGTTATGAAAAAGAACCAGAGCCTTTACTGGATGAGATACGATCAGCAATAGCCAACCTGAAGAAAGGAAAGTCACCAGGTTGCGACGAAATACCAGCGGAACTAATTGAAGCAGGAGGAGAGGCCAGCGTCCGAATCTACCATGCACTGTGCTGAAAGCTCTGGAACAGTGGCATTTGGCCTAAAGCGTGGAAAAGAACAGTCGATATCCCTCTCCCAAAGAAAGGAAATCCAAAACTATGCTCCAACTACTGTACCATCGAATTAATAAGTCATGCTAGCAAAATCCTCTTACAAATTATCATGAAAAGAATTGAAAGGAAATTACAATATGAGCTAGATGAAGCACAAACGGGTTTCAGACAGGCTAGAGGAACTAGGGATCACATCTTTAATAAAAGAATAATTTTGGAAATATCCAGAGAATACAACGTAGATCTTCATGCTTGTTTTATTGATTATAGCAAGGCATTTGATTGTGTCCAACACCACAAACTGTGGACTATTATGAAAAGTATGGGGTTTCCAGCGCATTTAGTGCATTTAATTGAAAATCTTTATCATGAACAACAAGGAGCCATCAGAGCAGCTGGTGAAACATCTGATTGGTTCGAGGTGCAAAAGGGGCGAGGCAGGGGTGCATTCTCTCACCATCAGTATTCAATATATACGCAGAAAATATAATGAGAAATGTTAAAAATGACCAGACTTGTGACAGTTATGATCTGCTCAAAATTCGTGGCAACCCAATTTCGGAACTCTGCTATGCAGATGACACAGTCCTCCTTGCGAACAGCGTAAAGGGAATTTAATATTGTCTGTCCAATATGAATTTAAAGAAAATGAAAATAATCCACAGATAAAACTGGCTGTCACCCAAAAATAACAATAAATGATAAAGAAATTGAAAATGTCAAAAACTTTGAATATCTAGGCTCTATAATAAACAACAATAGAGACTGTTCGACATAAATTAAAAGGAGGATGGCCATAGCAATGCAAAGATTGAACAGCCTTAAAAATCTATGGTTAAGCACTGTGGCTACATACGGATGTGAGTCGTGGGCTATCTCTCAGTCCTTAAGAAAGAGAATAGGGGCTTTTGAGCTGAAATGCTATAGAAAGATTCTCAGAATATCTTGGACAAAGAAGATGAGAAATACTGACATCTTAGAAGATCTGATCAGCAAGGAAGATTGGCTAATAAACAGCATCCTTTCTCGAAAGCTGAAAAATTATAGCAGAAGGCATGGTACCAGGAAGGAGGGGCAGGGGCCGACCGACACGAAGATGGGCACAGGATATAAGTGACTCCTTGAGTGTGAAAGTGCATGAGGCGGGAGAACTGGCGAGAGACCGAGTTTCTTTCAGGTAGACTGTGATGAGAGCGATGTTCTGCAAAAGACCTGCTTCATGATGATGATGAGTGGCACATCAGGCATTTGATGCTAAGTTAATTTTTAGTAGACCAATTGAGACTTCATCATGGCGGTCACCTTTACTTCCCAGGATATTACTTGGTACCTTTTTTAGGGCTTGATCAGCCTGGGCACCAAGGTCAGTTAAGAAAAAAAAAAAATCCAACCTGATGGAGATTTGAACCCAAGCCACTTTGCCAGCACAGTCCCCAATGAGACCACATAGCAGTATTTTGTGTGCGTGTATGTTTGCATGAACCAGACAACAGCTGTATGTTTTTATATGTTTACATGAACCAGACCACACAGCAGTATGGACAGAATCATTGGGAACGATCCTGTATTGTCATCAATAAGAAGCTACAATCATAAAGGTTTTTCAGTGGTAAGTTTGTGCAAACACACTCGGTATTGTCATTTACATACAACTAGAAAATCAGGTTGATAAATGATCTCCTCAGTAACTCAGCCTTTTATTTTCTTCATTACCCGTATGGGCATCAGGGTCCCTTTTAGGAAGTTGGGGGGGGGGGGGGGTAGACAGTGGCCTCCCCCCGCCCTCCTTTTTTCTCATCCTTTTTACCCCCACTCAACAAGCATATCATAAAATGCAACTAATTAGGGGTGTTTCCTTCATTTGCTGCTAAGAACAAGTAGTTTGCATATAACTAAGGTGGATCTGTAAAATAGATGTGCATACACAATTTGAGGTCTGGAAATAGATCAAAATCCAGAGTTTAGTGAACAACCAGAACTTTCCTGAGTTTACAGCAGGTGAAAGCTCAAAATAACATAGATTTCCTTCTTAATGGGTGTATCTTATCTTAAACAGTCATTATAGTATTATTAAGTTAATTATAGTATATTTTATACTTATAATTTTACATTATAGTGTTCTCAGACTAAACTTAAACCATATAAGCAGCATGGCACCCAGTGCTTTGATATATATATATACAGATAATAAGTGATACTTTGCTAGGGAGCAGACAGAGTTGTGAATAGATTTTAAAGATTTGCATGTGGTGAAAATTTTAAAAACAAAATAAATTACTCTTGGCAAAATCAGCTTCATTGATGTATGTTTGCTTTATGATATTTTTACAGGATGACATGAGCACTGAAATGAAATGGGCTCCTTCACTGCATCCTGGGCAGTACTCACATCAGAAATCAACCCCAGAAGATAGGGAGAGGAGGCATCTACCAGGTTAGTCAGTTGATAGGGAGAGGAGGCATCTACCAGGTTATTTAGTTGAATGTTAAAGAGGTTCACATAACTATCAGGAGGAGCGGCTGACTGAGCAGTTACAACATCGGGTTCTCATGCGAGAGACCTGGGTTTGACACCTGGTAAGATGATGGAGTTGTTTTGTCGGGGGCGCAACATTAAACATCCTGACCTGTACAGTCCGTAGCAACAGCACTAGCCAGACAGACTTGCAAACACTTGGTGTCATCAACTGGAAAGAGAAGGCCAACCAGAGAGATGATATCTGCAGCAGTGAACCCCAAGGGCTGGTAATGCTGAAGAAGAAGATGAAGAATCTCATAAAACTTAAAAAAATATTTAAGCCTTTTAATTAAATCAATTATGGAAATATATTTTCGTTTAATTTAAAAAAAAAAAATAATACAGAATGTGACTGCAAAATCAGAGAAATTATATAAACATTCGAAAGGTTCAATTCAAGGAAAATTGTATTTATTTAAAAAAAAAAAATGTTGAGGCCCCTACAGATTGTGAGGCCCTTAGCTAGTTAGCTTATGCCTAAATCCAGCACTGACCGCACCAAACATCCAGTTCAGCTCTTGGCATTAATTGGTTGGAAGTCTAACCTGGTCAGTGAGTGCCTGCAGAAGTCAGATGTTTCGGCCAAAAGGGGCAAATATCGCGACCATGCTATAAACGGGCACAACGCAGTTACATCTTTGGATGAACATAGAAAAGGATGAAAACTGGTTTGCTGCCTTCACAGTGAAGGTTGGCTATAATGAATTCACTGGTTTCTTTGAGAATGTGACGTGCTGAGGGCAACTCTCATAGAAAGTTCAAATAAACCCCAGCCAGGAAAATCAGTCTAATATTCAAGGATCATGAAAATGTTAAACATGTTCACTAAACTCGAAACCACAGAGCCACCTAGGAAACTAATGGATTTATTGGTTAAATATGATACTGTCAGAAACCTAACTGTCTAGGGCTCGATTCCATTGGCTCTGCTATAGGCTAATGACAGGAAAACACCGTACAAACACACTCAAGCCAAACACTTGTTGCAACACACACACAATCTTTATTACCAAAGATGCAAACGAAGTGGTGGTACACCTCAGGAGGAGTAGCGCTCCTTATTCAAAACCCAGGCCGCGTCTAACTTTAAAATCGCTTAGAGGCGCCATTACACGTTCATGAAATAAGCTCTGAGCCGCTACCACTCTCCCGTACAGTGCCAGCTCAACCCGCTATATCTCGATGCCAAAGACGTTATGGCATACGCCAATGTGTAGGCCTAAGTGCGTCGACAGTGTTAACGCCACCAGCAAAGCATGGTCTGGCTTCTAGTTACAACTACTACTTTACATGAAACTATGAACAGAACACGTTACATCTAATCACTACGCTGGTACCTATCTTCAAGTCAAAACAAACGGTCAGTCAAAAATCCACTCTCGTCCCACGTCCAGTTTCCTAGCAGTCCCCCAAGCAAGCCGTTCAGCCTCCGGTCCAAAATGTGCACACCCGTGCGAAGTCCGCTCATGCTCGTTTCTACGTGTGTATGCACGTATTGAGTGTCACTAAGGGTCGCAGGGTACGATGACGAGATTCATCATCATCATCCTGAACTGTCCCATAGCAGGGCGAACCCTGACATCCACCCCTCCTTTTAGACAGATACTTCCTGATGACAGACGTCTACCTTACCTATCTACGTCTGGAGTCAAGTATCTCTACCTGGGTATGGGATGTCGACAGAATTCTGTCTACATTCAGTTCAGTGCATCTCCGGATATCCTGCTTTCTTCCCCCAATTATTGTCACCAAACAGTCATGAAAGTTCCTATCAACATAGATTTGAGATGTTTCCTAATGAGAGTCAGTCACCTGAGAACAACGTATCTTTACATCCTTATGGGACATGTACATATACAAGGACAACACTAAACCATGAAGTTACCAATAGTATCACAACATGTCACAAGTACGCCACTACTAACTAACACTTTGTAGTCATAGAGGTTAAGACTAATTATATAATATTGTGGGTGGACTATTAACCGCCCGGGACCCACATGAACCCAACCCCACTCTCGTGCGAGTTGTACGCCATTGAGAACATAACAATGGTCGTCATAGACATGACCCTTCTATGGTTCTAATTAAGTCATCCCGACTCCTTGACGTCCCGTCGAATAATGTGTCTAAAATTACCTAGCAATCCCTGCCACTGACACATGTCATACCTCTAGACATATAGTGTAGTATATAGAAACACAAGTGTGGCCTGTACGACACATTTGCAACAATCATGAACAATGTCACCTGTAACATGAAACTTCCCCTAATGTACAAGGTTTCTATCACCTTCATATATACTCAGTGATCTCTCCTCTGGAGCGACAATCTCTTCTAACAATATTCAAGTTTTAAATATGGTTTACAAGTTTCTTATTTAAAAACAAAAATAAAATGAATAACCAAATTATTTTTAACCAGAATCTACTACAAAATTACATAATTAACAAACCACGGAAAAAATACAAATTATTTCAAATAATATGTTACCACGTCGTGTCCTATTGTCAAAAATATAATTTACCTACCTAGTCTCGACCTTATATAATAATTTCCTATTACATAAAATATACTATGTGTAACTAGTTGACTATTGCGGTGCCATCCACAGAACCCAAATGTGTGGTTGACCTCTCAACAACCAACATGTCACATTTAACTTACAATTACTCACGGAGAAATGTTAGAAATGCAAACCTGCAAAATTTCAAAAGTTATAGTTTAACTTTAACGATTAGGAGAAAATGGAAAAATTACGTATTGAAAACCGAAAAAGAAAATCACCAGAGAAAAATTACATTTCCAAGCTGAAAAATTACATTTTAAAAATAAATAATGTGTACATCCAATTTGCAACATGAATACAAAATATTTCACAACAATACATAGATATCAAAGATGAATCTGATGAATCAGATGTATCACCTTCAATATGTAACAAACCAAACATATTACACTATCACAATAAACACATAACATATAGAACAAGTAATGGCTTAAACATAATATGTTAATTCACGATCACATAACATTGATAACGTTTAACGAATAGAATATAACGTATGTAATCAACTGAATTTATCAGAATATGATCACATTTAACATAAATTTATCGTAGTGACGTGAATATTTCTATAGTCCCCACGTGTCATTTGTCCTTTCATTCAATTTTAATGTACATTCACTCATCAGTCATACTCTAAGTTGACGATGATCCAGTCGCTGATGTCCAGATCCACTGTCATTGACGATTCCACTTTTGTTGCCATAATAATTTGAATTCCAGCGTGTTTAAACGATTAAGTTGAATGCTTTCAGTGTTCAATGAGTTCAGTTTCCTTGAATTGTAATCTTCAGTTGTAAATTGTTCTAACGAATATTCACTTCGCCTTGAATTCTAGAATGATGCCTTTGAAATTTAGAATGTCATATCAGATAAGATCTTGCAACTGTAAGAGTTCACATTATTGCTTGAAGGAGATACATCTAGTTTTGCCACATTTTTAGTATTTCTGCAATATGAACAGTTCTTTCCTGAAACGTCTAGCACAAAGTCGATAGGTAAATATGTTACTGAAATGCTCTTGCTGTAGGTAAGCTCGGTTTAATGAGTATTTCACAATGCTGGTTTTTGGATGCAGTACCTAATCATCTGGCTGTTTGTGTATTTGTATATTATATCAGATAAAGCATTGATGTGGAAAATGATGAACACAATATTGAAGTGTCTGTTGGTGTCATCGTTGACTATTTTCAAAAGGATAAATTATTTTCCCATTTCTGAATAGGATATTGATATGTCTGTACTAGTTGAACATTTAGTATTGAAACAATTTCATCAGACATGATAACTTTATCTTCACTTTCGAATGCAATCTTGTTAATCTGCAACTGATGAAAATTTTGTATCAGCAGTAGGTTTACTGCATCATTGACTTCAGACATGGAGACAATATATCTTTTCAATCTGCAATAAAAGTTGTTAAATACTGTATAATCATCATAGATCGACAATGTTTCTGTCTTGTACAGTACAGTTGTGGATATAGACGTTATTGACGACCTAACAGATCAGCCATACTGTAGAT